TAAGTAAAGTGTGGCCACTTCCGCAAAACTCATACCATCAATGTATGCTTTATGACCGAATCTGTACGTTAAATATATGCACATTTTACATAGACACTGCAAGGCTGAACAAGGCATTTAGTAATTTCATGAAACGAAATGTTGCCAGTGATGCGTCGGCTTTACTGAAGTGTGCAATGCACTTATCTTCTCAATGCACAGCATGAACTAACATAAAAAAGACAACGTGATTGATTTTGCTTCACAGACTATCAGGCAGTCTTCACTGAAATCAAGGCAGCTATCCAAATGGCAAAGGTTGTTCAGCAAGACAGCTTATGCTTCAGCTATTCAATGCAACCATTGCATCGGTCATTGCTTGCTTACGGCTTAAGCGTTCCTTTTCACATGCGAGAAGTTTCTATGCAAGCGTACAAATCACCGTCTACGAGATGAACTGCTCAAGAATTGCGCATAGGAAAAATTTATTACAAGACAAAAAAAAAAGAAATCGAAAGTCTTGGCCAGAAATTTCCAGGCGAGAACTATGCACATCATCATGTTTGAACAGCAAAAGCATTACAATTTTATTATACAGCGCGTTTTTCATTGTGCGCTGCATCAGAATCAGTGTGGCATACATCGCGTGTTCTTTTCTCTCGTTTTGGGATGATTTGGCTACAACATCAAAAGTAACGCACAGAGCCTACGAAAATCGCACAGTGCACACTTATTGCTTCACTACGGGGTTTCTTCAGCAACGGGGAAATGCTAAGCAAGGGCGAGCTACCAATATTGTGCGCAGAGTAGCGCACCAAATTGACACGCAACCGCTTGTCTTTGCCATCTAGTCAATTATCACGTAGTGCTATGACAAAAAAAGTGAATGATGAAAGGGTTTTATGCAACAAATGCATGGGTTCTTATCAACTCTAACTTCACAGCACTCATCAAAGCGTAGTATCCAACATGTACAAAATCAAGAGAAACAGGAAAAAAAAATGGGTTATTTACATCATCCTAAATACGTATCGTACAATGTTACAGTGTGGGAAATGGGGGCAGATGGGGATCGGTTTGTCGTACGCCTCACCTGCTGGGTATTTGCTGTACAATTTCTCTGCAAAGCAGTACCTGCCACTTTTTTCTTTATTATTTATTATTCTCATTATTATTTCGAAAGCAAGCGCTCACAAACATGCAAACACACGCAATAGAAGAAAATGTGATGCTAGCCGTATTACTTTCTGAGATTCGAAACGGTTCAGGTAAGACGCAAAACTTGGACGACTGAGACATACACTTTGAGCTCATCATAACAAAGTTGCATCATACATGAAAATAACTTTGTTCTAATCAACGAATTCGTCACAAAGGTATATTCCCATCACTATAGCGAGTCCAAGAATATTTTTCATTTACTTCGTCATAACCAATATTTCATTATATCCAAGTTTGTTACATCTCAAGGTTTTAGTATACACTCGCACGTCCATATAAAGAACCCAGATATAATGAATTATCGGTTATAACAAAGTAAACAAAAAACATCTCTGTCATAGGTACTGTACTACAAATATGTGGTCGTACTACAAATATATGTTTATAACAAATTTTCGGATATAAAGAAGTGTTTTGATGGCAGGTGAGACTTTGTTATAATGAGGTTTGAGTGTATGTCTCAGTCGTCTGTGTTGCGTCATACCTTCTATAGCACCAAATGTTGACACAATGTTGCCGCAACACTGAGGAGGTTGCTTCAACATTGTGGCAACATTACATGCCACTGCTACGTGCTACCTGCAGCATACAGGCAGAAAAAATAATCGTAACAAGGTCCGCATTAAGAAGCAACTTGTTTTTCTTCCACGATTTGAATTTTGCTCAGAAACGTTCATTAACGTAATGGGAATCGTGCATAGTGGCAGCAGTTTGTACACTCAGAATTCACTCTACTTCAAGGGTAGTGAAAGCAACACTTTGAAGGTGCTGACACAATTTCAATTTCAACCCACCTAAGAAAGATCTACACTGAATAATTTCGAGGAATCACCAAAAGAATATACTGATTCTACACGGTAAGTATCGGGCATTTCTTTTCTAGCCAACAGAAACCTTCTGCTTGCCCGAAGCAAGAGAAACCTGTTAGTTACGAAAAATAACTAATGTATTAGTTACGTGAGGTAACTAAGCAATCGGTTGTTATTTTAGCCTCTGCTGATTCACAGTGTGCAAGCAAGATATTAACCTTCTACGAATTTCTGTGGAGCTTTAGGCCAAGAAAAATTCTCTTTCATCGCATAATAAAACTGATTCTTGAAATCCTGAGTAAAGCGAAGTTCAGCAAAACAATTTTATTTATTATTGCTAAAAATTTTTCTTTGGACCAATTCATTATGTATTGTCTTCCCTTAACATAATTAGGTACATATGATCTTTAAAAATATTTAATTAACCATTTTACTAATCAACTCAGATATTACATCATGCCAAAACACATGTGAATTCCTGAAACGCATTTCCAGCCTTATCATTTTATTTCTTGAATTCTTCAGCAAAGCTGCTCTAAACTCATGTCAATAGCTTTTTTGATATGCTTCTTTGATTCCCTTCACTTGTTGTGCTGTGTTGCTGAATTCTTAAAAACACTCAGCTTATTCCAAAAGCAGCCAGCACCTAGCACGCATTGTCAGAAAGCGACTGTTTATAAAGTTCACATAAGACGTAAAATCTGAGCTGAAACACTGCACAAAGGTCGTAAAGAGGCCCTGTACTAGATTGCTGCATTATTTCAGTTTTAAAGTACTACATTTTAAAGCCTGCTAGTCTTAAAATATAGACGCTGTATCCGAATTGCTTGAAATCTAGATGGTGTATATAACACCAAACAGCTTCCGCGAAATTAAGAGACAGCGATTGCAATCTCTCTTCTGTTTTTGCACTGTTTTCTACTTTTTTTTTCTACGAACCGGCAGTGTTGGCACCCTTAAAGTGTTCACTAGGGTTAATCACGCATTTTTTGCGTGTTGAATGTTTGACGACATCAAAGAGCTGCATAAAAAGGTCGGCATGCCGCTTGCGTTTTCACCAGTGCTTACGCGAGCGCTCCCCGAGTTTTCGTTATTAACACCGCTTCTTCTCCAGCTCCACCGCCGCAAGACATTTGCAGCATCGAGGAGCGAGAACGGGCTTGCTTGTGGGCTACCCAATACCCAATGCGTAGTGATGCCGTAGAAAAACAAAAAAAAAAAGCCTGCCACCGGAACAAAGGAAGAGTTATCCAGTGTGTCCAGACAAGAACATTCTTTTCACAATAAGCTACCCTAAGAAAGCTTAGTCTCAATTAAGCACATCAAGAAATCAATGCACACTTCAGACAAATGCAAAAAGAACAGACAGAGGATTTTCAAGCTGAATTTGCCTAGCTTCTTTTCGAGCATAGGAAATAAAATACAGTCACCAGCAAGTCCAAAATTCTACGCAAGGGCTCTAACAAGCCAAACCTGAGTCCCACTCTACTCGGTAAAACATTGCTGAAACACAGGCGCAGCAAAACGAGCGAGCCCTCCTCCTGAACTGTTAGCCAGTTTTTCAGATGGTGCTCTCAGCTTAGCTGCGCGCTATTGAGAAGTGTATGAAGAAGAAACTATATTCGGTCGTCGGCGACCTGCACAACGGCGAAATCATCGGAACATGCTTTGCAGAGTGTGCGAGAGATGCAAGTGAAGCGTAATCAGAATATATAGAGTGGAAAAGAAAAAATGAAGAAGAGAAAGTGGCGCAAACGTGTGTAAGAAAACCGCGAGCGTGGGACAAAAAGCTCCTCCTTCTCGGCATCGCCTAAGAAACCTGAAAAAAAGACCGGCATCCGAGCCTTTCGTCTACTCGGTCTGCCCGTCTGTCCGAGGAACGTGGCTGTGAGAACGAGTGTGCCTCGCCATGAGTGCTTCCCGTTTGGCACATATCACATTGTTGCCAAGCTACACTCCCTACTGGCCCAAGAGAACAAGAGCCACCTCTCCACCCGTAGAGAAAACTAAAAACTCCAGACGAGTTGTCAATGCGATGAGGCATGTGATGATGATGACGGCAGACACACTCACCTTAGCGAAAGAAAAACATCCTCACACCCACAAGAGAGACTGTATCGAAGAGAAGTAAATGGCTGATGCATAATTGAAGATTATGGCGAAAAATAGGCACACTTCATCGTCGGAGAAACGCGACTGCACGTCGGCCTGCCTTGGTGTAGGTGGGAAGGGGTGTAGAAGCTCTCGTCATGCAAACCAACAAGCAACATTGGCAAGTAAAGTACTCGAAATGTACAATCACTCACTCACACAGTCAAAGCGAGCGAAGTCTCCCAAAAAGGAAATGTTGCCCCTACACCAGAAGTGGCATAAGTATCAAAGGAAACCCATTTTGTGGGCTACACAGAAAGAAAGCTTCACAGTTGAAGTAATATCCATTCTGCTTCCGGAAATGGAACCCAAGACCAAGATCTTCCTGAAAAGGCTGTTGCTTTACTACTGCAACTGCACATCCAATCGCAGTGTGAGGCTATGTTTAGATGTAGCACAGTACAAATAAATGCAGCTACTAATTTCTGAAGAAATCTGCATGAAGAAGATGCACTAAGTATCATGAAAGGAGGGAGATAGGAAAGAGAAAGATAGGGAGCATGATCGGAGATCTCCAGTTCAGTACCCCAGATTTTCAAAGGTGAAATGATGTAGCGAGAACAAAAGAGACGGTCTGTGAAGATTCCACAAGAGTCATCACGAACAGCCATGGGTGTTTGACCAAGACAGAAAAACAAGGGCAGCACAGATTGCAACAGTACTCTGGCTTGTTTCGACAACTTACTCCTTGTGCACAAAGTACTGTGCTAACTTGCAAATGATGAAACAGTGAATACAACTGTCCAACAGATTGCATGTGCCTTTTAATGCAGAAAGTCATGCTACAAGAGTTGAACTAGAGGGTGGTGATGGAAGGTTCTACATAAAGGGAACACAGAATTAATAGGTGGGCTAGTCGGTATTGATTTATTATGATGACTTGGCAGCACAAACAGAAAATGTAGGATAGTACGCAAACAAGTGCATTTGGTATGAACAATTGCGCTTGTTTGTCTGCCTTCTTACTTTGTCCCGTTTGTGTGCACTGCCAAGTTGCCATAATGAACCTACAACACAGGACAATGTGTATTCGTGAGCTATTGCATCGTTCACTTTGCTTAGCTATTGTGAAAAACACACAAGCGGTGTATCGCTTTATGCAAGTCGGACATTCTTTCAACGATCTTTCTCAACGAGGCACTCCTGTTAATCGGAAAGTCACCTATGACAGCTTGCTGTCACGAACCTGCACACTGTTGGCAAACAAGACTGAAAAAGCTTGATCATGTGTCACGTCAGATTAAGCTTCAAAGAGTAGAAGTTTTGAATAAAGGGAAGTATGAATAGTATTCTCTTTCAACAATTAAAAAAAATGCGTCTACTCACAGCCCTGGCCAGCAGAGATTATTCATTCGGTATGACCAACATTACACAAGCGGGAAAATGGCGACGTGCGCCGTAGGTATAAGAAGAGAAAAAAGAAACATGTCAACACTACTATAAAACATGTACAATATAAAAAAGAATTTATAAAAGCAACAGAGCCCTTAAGCTTCACAATGAAGCGGGCAAATCTCACTTCAAAGCGTTATAGCTTCGTATTATTGTTTCCATGGACGCTCCATAACCACTTGACCAAGTGTTCCAATTTACTGCCGTGGACCATCAACGATCAAAGTTCTTTTTGCACTTCTGTTCCCTTATTCCGACCACATTCATGCCTCCGTGCAGTTGGGAAGAGCATAAGAATTTTCATAAAGAATTCATCCTTATGACTTCAAATGGCTTTGCAATTTTGCCAACTCATTTTAACACAATATTGTGCAGCGCAAGTGACAATTCTCAACACTTATCGCTTCCCACAAAAACCTATTGCCTTCATGATTTTGTTTAAAAAATTACTTAATACATATATAGAAAGTTCTTACGTAACAGACAGCTCCACAAATAACATGAAATCCCAACAGAATGCAGGTTCGACAAATCAACACATTATCCATATTTCCAGCAATAGCTCATTAATCCCACTAGGGAAAACCCCCATAGTGATACCCTTTCTTCAGAAACCTTTGCATGAGCCCACAGACTCCCTCTAAACATCTTTCAAGATACACCCCACAATTTTGAACACGTCTAAAGTGCTTTCATATGCACCCAAAGGTGAAGAGATTCATTGTACCTTCGATGTATATAATATTCGTTAGGAGAGTTTATTCATTACATTACGACATTGGTGAGTAAATTTTAGCATTAATTCGTTATGCCTGAATATTCGTTACGTTTCTGTTCCTTAAATTCTTGATTAGCAGTATGGGCTTCTCAGTTTGCTCAATAGCCCAACACTGCTTAGCAGGCGGAGTTCTTTAGTTGCCATGGCTGACTACTTTCCATGGAAATGGCCAAACCATGTCCAAGCAAAAAACATGCACAGATCAAGAAGAGGTCTGTATGCACATCGACAAGCGTGCAGTGGTGCGCAACCACATTGACGTAGGGAACAGCTAATTTGGCTATTAAATGATAAAGCGATAATAAAGCCTCTCCTAACACATTCACTCAGATCATATTGTTATCTGAAAATTACTTTTCATTTCATGATTGGCCCTGAGGTGATGTACTGCAAGACTACAGCACGCTTTATATATGCTAGCAAAAAGCATTTCGAAGTGCCTCGCAACGGCCCCTCAATAAAGAATGGCACAGGCATAAGGTGGGTAATGGTGTAATTGTGATATGAATGGACATGGATGACAAAAAATAATCTGATACCTGCGTGCTCGAGTATTTAAAAACAAACAAGAATTTACCGGTAAGACACAAACCACACATGCCTAAATTATAGCACTTAATCACTGATGGTCCTTTGTTCTTTTTTAAAAACTTGCTTCAAAACGAGTAGTTCAAAAAAAATCTCTTGTAGGAAAGTGACTTCTAAGTTCTAAAAGTAAAAAAAAAGCTCTTTATGTGTACAAAAGCTTCCCCCCATGAAAACAATTCTTGGCATTGATTCAGACCAGTGAAACAGGAAAAAACATAAGTGTAATAGTTTACAGCATTCGAGGGGTTCGTATTACGTACGTTATGTGCCTACTCAACAAACAGCAATGCTGAAAAATGAAATACCTATGTTGTCTATCCCTTAAGCCAGTGAACGGCATAAATTCCCAAATCAACAGTTCATTCAAGATCACACACAGGCAGTGGATGAATGTCATTAGTGCGATCATATCAACAGCATCTATTTTTAATTTACCCACGCTTGGTGAAAAAAACAAACAATAAAGCAAACATGACCAAGAAAGGTTCGAGCGAAAATCTTCACAGCAAGCCTCGTGAAGGTGTTGATGAAGTTAGCCTACTATTACGTAGTGTTGAAATAACCTCATAAATGTAAAACATAAAAGACTGTATTAATATTAAACATAAGCAATAAATTAATGTTATGAACACAGTGAAAGCTTCTGTCTAGCTCACTTTGTACTGTGTGAAGAAAAAGAATGTAGACAATAAATGGTCCCCACAAAAATGTTTTTTTTTTATGAAAGTCTCGCAGGGACGCTAATGAAGGTAATCAATGTACATGGAGTATTAGTGACCTGGTAATAGTCAATCAACAATTGAGATTCTGCAAACTGACACGGCCATAATTAAGTTCCCTAGCCAGCAGACGAGGGCAAGCAATAGGGCGCTAAATGGTTTCATTAACTCTGGTGACAAAACCTCCTAAGAATTCAATATTATCTTAAGTTTTCCACTGACAGGGCACTACCTTACTGATGTGAAAGGCAACACACAATTTCTTTTCCTTTTCTGACTGCCCTTTTTTTATCATTTTTACACTGCATAAAAAGAGCCATCAGGACAGATTCTTCACTGGGAGTATGTTTAGATTGTGTTAATAAGTATCACCAAACAGTCTTATTAGATACAGGCACAGTAATCATCAGCAAAATACAACATAGAGGAGCTTCCCTTTTTTACTAGTGCTGAGAGACACTTCTCATACAGCAATGCATTAAGTTTCCCTTTCCTGCGATTCTGTTAATCAAAATCTTTTGTTGCCATGCCATGCGTGACGATGCCCAGCTGAGGCAAAAGCAAGAACATTGTCTCTTTAAACGGCGATCACAGTGTGCATGCGGGTGCCTGCCATGATGATGATGCAAGAATTGTGTGCATTGCACATTCCACAGTGTGCTCAACTTCATGTCCCTTCAGCACAGAGTGGCGATCGAGACGGCTGCTAGATTCAGCAAAATGGCTGCTCCCTCGATTTGCAGGGCTCCACTAAAGCTACGCGATGCCATCTGACTTCCGCTAAAGGTCGACGTGATGCGAGAATGCTCCACGAACATGCAGTGACAAGTCTGAACTGAGAAAAGCATTCACTCAAATGCAGGCACACGCACACACGTGAGATGCGAAGAGAAACAACACAGTCAAATGCGGCAAAGAACACAAACGTGGAGCCATGTCGTGGAAAAAACGGAAAAGGCTGACGACAGTGAATGCGTAGGTGATCTGGAATGAGAGAGTGGTCGGTGGAGAGGAGGAGACTCAGTCGGAGTTGGCGGGCACTGCGGCCGTGGACGATGCCGCTGCCAGTGGCCTTCCACTCGTGGACGCATCTGCGGGGGCACCGCCATCTTGAGACGACCCCGTGCTGCTCATGGCGAGCTTCCGCATCTGCCGGATTACCGCTGTTGCATTGTAAGCTTGCTGCAATGCACAACATGGGAAAAAAATCAGTGAACATTCTGCCACTTCAATATTACAAAAGGTGCACAAACACACACACACATGCACATGCGTACTGCCAGTGTCAAATGAAATGTGAACAATGGCAAGCATTGGTAACGTTACAGTGTGCACCGTCCAGTCATTACCATTGACGGGCACGCACATTTGGTTTGGCAGCACTGTGCCATCTCACTACAGTAGAATCTCAATGATACGATTACCGTTGATGCAAATTTCACGACGATATGAATTTATAGGTTGCTTTGGATGGACTACACTACAGTATATAAAATACGCCTTCATTCGGTGTTATACAGTTTCACCAGCAACCATGGATGATACTGAACACGCGATTGACTGCTTCACGCGAGCGGTGCCACGTGACTTGTCTGCGGAAGGAAGGCCCATTCACACTTGGTCTCGGAGGGACAGCGAATGCGGCAAAACTTGCCAGAATTTCCCTCGCTTCGCCGCCGCAAAAGTGGTCTGAAAACCGATGCTGCGAGGAGGACGCGAAGAATTTAGCCTCAGACCAATTTTGCCGCCATGCGATAGTGGAATCGCCTTTCTGCTACGGTTTTGGCTACACCAGCAGCACTAGCTCTCAAACCACGAGATGTAAACAACCAGCCGTGCATTCAACATGGCGAAAAAGGCGTCGGTCGGTGGCTCGCGTAGGTGCCATCGCCAACTACCCGTGCAGCACGACAAAGCTCACAGCCTTGAAAAAGACACGTTCACCGAGAGCCCGTTTTTAATTACGACCGCTGCGAACACCGGAAGTAGAAGGTGCAGCAGCAGCAGGTCGCCATGCCCTAACGTGTCTCACTTTTGCACTGCTGGCTGAATCTGTCGTCGCTGTTGTCGATGCGTCCACTCATGTCGTTTTTTGTGACGCATCTCCCGAAACAACGCTTGTAAAGGCGTAAACTGTTTTTTTTTTTTTTTCCAGTGCTTTGCATGTATAACTAAAAGTCGGTATAGATTTTGAAGCTCAGAAATGAATTCTCAAGTGGCGAATATGGCGGCAGTAGCATGTATACAAAGGGCAGATCAAATGCGAACATTTTCGATAGGCGCAGACGTGGGTTTTCGGTCGTTCTAGTGCTTTTGCTTAAATTTTTCAGAACTGACCTTTTTCGTCTAGACTTTGCGGCGTGCTTTGGGCTGGTTGTGCAGCGAAACGAGTGAATTTTCAGTAAGTTTCGTCGCTTTCACTCCTTTGATGCAGAGTGTGAACGCGCCTTACAGTGCCAGCATCATGAGTGAGGAAACAACGGCACTTCATGAAAGCAGGAAAGTTCAAAAGAGCATCATGGACTTTTTTCTGCAAGAAGTAGTTGACCCCAATAAAGTTCTTGTTCATCTTCATGATCAGCTTTAACTTGTTTTTGGTTGATACGAATTCGGGATGATAAGAATATTTTGCATGTTCCCTTCCAATTCCTATCATCGAGATTCTCCTGTGATATTTTACCTTCTGTTCTACTTTTGATGAAAGGAAGAAAATAAAATAAAAAATTCTGCTACGCTGCCGCAGGACAGATTCTTTCAAGAACTGCCACCTGTTTTTGACGTACCACACAAAAACAGCACTCATATCGAAGTGTAGCTAATTTGCCACAACCACTGCAAACACGAATGCGATCGTGTTAACGCGATCATGGGTGGCCACGAAAGTAAGCATGCATCCAACATGCATTCAATGCGCACCGACTCAAAGCAATGCTGCGAGCCAAGCTGCGGTAGATGCGATCAGATTGAAAATTTAACTACCGTTTGCCGCGCTGCACAGCAAACCGTAGTTGCTATCATCACCATCACGATCATCGATAGCGAATAAGCCTCGAATGTACGCAGCTAACATAGCGAAAGATTAGAGGCAATAAAGTTGTAAAATGGCACAAAGCGTTTCGATTTTCCTGTCGCTTGCTTATTACAATAGTAGTGCGAAGCTTTCACACCAAGTTTTCAGTTCGCGTCTAGCGAAGATTTGGCACGCTCGTCCTTTGAATGAAATTGGAATCGAATAGATGTCCTGATTCCGCAACACTGGTGTGTGATGGCAGACTCTGCTACATTACTAGAAACAACGTGCCTTCACTTTGAATATAACCTCGACTTTAAAAACACACATATAACGCCATCTCAGATCCACAAATTTTGCGAACTGATCGAATGCAGTCATTCTATGAAATGCCCTCTCACCCTCCATTTGGTCTTGGCGAAGTTCTTCTTCAGCTGCTCACTGACGGAGCCGTGGATGTTCTTGTCACTGGCTGTGTTGCCAGATATCCTGGACAGCGTCACAATTGTGCAAATGAGCAACTCGCATAACTGCCACAAAAAAGATCAATACCACACGGTAAATTTGAAGATCTATACTACACGGTAAATACTATACGGTAAAGTTTGTTTGCTGTCATCTTCGAAACGAAGTGAAGTTTTATAAAGAGGATAAGAACTCTAAACATGAACTTGTGACTGTGCTGCACCCTTTTGAGATTTTGTTGCTGCTTATTCGGAGAAAAATGCCTTTGAACTTTAAACACAATTGGACAAATGCTAAGGGTTTCCCTTTATATATATCCCATGTGGACATTAAAATTTTTGAAAGGACGGTCAATGGGCTATAGTTGGTAAGGCATTATTTATGCGGTAGCAAAACAAGCATAAATGCAGTGACAGGAGCAAACAAGACACAGCTTTAGCTAAAAAGAGGGTGTTTCTTCGCACGTGATAAGGTAAATGTGCAGTTAAACCCCTTTATAAGAGGCATGCTGCGGCCAGCAACTCGTCTTTTATAAGAGATGTCTTTTATAAGCAGGGCATTTTGTATGCATTTTCTTATCAACCCGTACTTTACTGTAGGCACACTGGTGTCTCTTATACCCATTAGTCTCTTATATCAGTGTCTCTTATAAAGGAGTTCACCTGTACACTGTTACACAAAAGATATGTCTCGTCGCATGCAACGAAACTCTCGGTGGTGTCCCATCTTCTTCTAATGCCCATTCCTGCACTTTTACACAACTCTGTAAACAAATGAGTGTTGAATCCTGGATCCCAAATTAACCCTCTGTGTTTAGGCCACTTGTGGGAGAAGACAGTTTTTTAACCATTGAATTTAGCCCACACTCTTCAAGCCCCTGATGTCATGGGCAACTAGTGCTGCAATGTCAAGGCACCTTTGTGGCTTTTAAAATGTGTCCATGTGCAATAAACCTGACATTCTTGTGTTTCAGACATTCACTGAGTAAGATGCTGGTGTTCGCCAGTGATACCCTTGCTTTCCTTTCAGAGTTACCAGCAATAAGAGTATGTACTGTACTCATTTGTAGAATGTCAGAATAGTCTGGCAATCAAGGGTTCGCATGATTCTTTAGCTAGTAAAACTTAATGCAATAGTACAGTATTTAGCATGTTATTTGTGGCTTTCTGTGTGAGATGCTATAAATAGGCACCTTGAGTAGAGCTCAGTCACACTACGATACATCAAGCTTGGAGGACATAACTAAATGATTCAATTGATCGACCATTTCACATACGAAATATTTCTTCTTGAAGCTTATCTCAAGACTTCATGCTCCTTCAGCAGTCTCAAGAGATCGTCAAAAGTGGAAAATTGTTTCTCCAAGGCTGCACTGAATCTATAAATGTTTTACTGGGTTTTGATTTACAGCTTTTGGTGGATCATGCTTACAGCATCTCTTTCTGAATCAAGCAATATTGTCTCACACTTCCACCAGTTTGCTGCAACAAAAAATGGCAAGCAGTAAGCTCAAAGTCAACTGCCGTTTACATTCTCCTGCAGCAGCCATTCCTAGGGTGAAGAATTGATCCATTTGAATTTCAAAGCTCTCTTTTGTAATTATTCACCCTCAGTATATGTGAGCTCTGTACATAAAGTACAGTGGAACTTCTAATATGTGTACGTCTCCCAGTTTCGCGACGACTCGCTTTTTACGGCGAATCGGGTTGGTACCGGCAAAATCCGCATAAAGATAATGTATTAAAAACCTTCGTGATATGATGCAGTTATACGCTGACCCTGCATCTTACAACAATTTTCCGATTCGTCCAAAATAAATTTAAAAAATGCCAGGCCTGCGTGAGATGTGCAGCACCGTCACAGCAAAAGCTGGAAGAGCAGCCTTTCAGAGCGTCTTCTAAACACTCGTTGGGTAACTGCTGCAAGCACACTTGCTGGGTACCCACTACGCCATAATCATAATTTTTGTGTAGTAGGCCAGCATTGACTATGCTATCCTTCATCATCCTTCGAAAAAGCATGATATCCGCTACGTACTTGCCAGAAATTTGGTGCCATGCCTGAAGTGGGCATGCACCACAGCCAACAGGTGATGAAGAACAAGTTTTCTTATGGGCTGGAGCATTGAACCACCCACTCTTCATGCAATTTGGATTGTGTGATGCCTGGTTGTTTCTTTGATGTTCTAAAATGCTTTATTACTCATATTAACGTGATTCTTTTCCCAACATCAGGCCTGCCTAAGGGTAATTTAGGAACGAGGTCCAAGCACCGGCATGGCTTAGTGGTAGAATACGGGGCTGCCACGCTGTGAACTAGGGTTCGAATCTTACAGTGAACTTGGTGTTTTTTATTTACTCAATTTTTTTCTTATTTTTTGCAATACTGGTTACGAGCGACAGCGGTGGCGGTGGCAGAAAACTAGAGCGTCACACGTGACCCGAGTTCTTATCTCATGACAGCCTTCGCTGTAAAAATGCATCTTTACTTGCATTGAACGTTGACCAAATAGCCACGAGGGCAAAATATGAGATTGCACTCCCCTATGTTGATGATTAGCAAAGTATAGATTGAAATGGGATGTCTTTTTTTAATGTAAAATTTATTCTCTTGGCAGTTCATGCATGCCCTTCTGCATACACCTCGACCCTGCGCATACGCAGGGGCGTTGCCTAGAGAAGCTTCGTCAGAGTAGCGTCAGCTGACCCAAAAGCTCATATCGGAGATCCTGATATTTTCATGTCTTTGGTCTGCGGAAACTTTTCCTCCTCGGCGTACAACTGACCTCCTGCCATGGTTTGTCGCACTTGCACCCACAAGCTTGAGCACGCAAAAGCCCACGATGCAGCTATTTTTCATCGTGCAAAATAACTTTCACTAGATGTCAACAATCATTGTAACAGCGGGACGTCACCAGTCGCACTTCACAAGAGAATAAATTATAATGCGCACAGCTCAGCCGTACCTTCGAAGGCATTCTATGCAACCTCGTGAACTCTTGCGTCGCCATCAATGATGGCGATAACACCGTCTAACTTTTCTGACAAGAGGCTCTTGTCAACGCGCTTTTAGTTTCGTTTTCAAGCGCAGGCAATTTTCGGATTCAATTTATCAGAAGAAAGATGTGCACTGGATTCGAATTTTTTAAAGCTGAGAATAAAGATTTGTGTGCATCTGCTTCAACTAAATAACGCTGAAATTGGCAAGTGTATTTTAAATCTGCTGTTCTTGGAAAAGCGCAAGGCACTGTCGTGAGCTTATTCAGTGATCTGTACCCGTTTTCGTGTTTTCTTGTAAGGCTGAGTGTCATTGCCTGTATTCTTACCCTCGTATTTACAAACGCTCCTCGACTCGGCTTTAAGCCTTCACTTGACAGAGTTGAACACTGCGCCACCACTCGGCTGAAGATAACGCTGGGCTACTCAAGAATCGCAGCAGATTATCGCCGATATGCAGTGACTTGCCGTGCCTAGAGAAGGCGCTCCCATCGGCTTCCTCAAGCGAAGGTGAATGCGTTGAGTGAAGGGACGTTCTAGAGTACGGGGGTTAGTTTTTCTATTATATGACGCCCGGATTATATGACGGTTGTGTGTGGTCCCGTGAAAGTCGTACAATCAAGGTCCCACTTTATTAAGAACAACTTGTAACTCGCAGTGCGCCAACACCACACACGTGATGTAGTGGGAGTTGTGACTTTCAAAACACGTTAGGACCCATCGCTTGTGAAAGTTCGTTTAGGCTAGATTGTGTTTTTAGCGAACCCCTCCCGAGTGAGTCAGTGCAAGTACAGAATGCAATAAACGATTGAACAGTGGTACGACATCCAAATTTTGCACTGACCCAACGAAACTTGACCATAAACATCATCAAGTTGATTACCCATCCCTCTCACAACCCTGCCTTGGCACCAGCAGACAATTTCCTACTCCCAAAAGTGAAATTTTCCCTCAAGGGTCATGGAGGCAAAAATGCTATAGGTGCCTGTGCTCGGATTTGGGTGCACGTTAAAGATCCCCAGCTGGTCGAAATTTCCGGAGTACTCCACTATGGCACCTCTCGTAATCATATGGTGGCTTCGGGACATTAAACCCCAAATATCAGTCATCAAACCCTCAAGGGTCAGCACTATGATACCCTAGAAGCTGTGAAAGAAGTTTATACGTGTGCCCTTAAGGACCTTCTGGAATCTACCTAACCGGGAGGCCTTCTAGTCCTTCAAAAGCCATTGGCAAAATTGCATCAACAATCAAGGGATCTGCCTTGAAGTCTTTTGAGGCACTGGTCTTCTGAGGCACCTTTATTGAATCTACTCTTCCGAAACTTTTTTCATTACTTCTTGCCAGCAGGAGCTGGAAACCCCCTCAAAATTCACGCCTGCCCCCTTTTGCCCCGCCCCAAGAGCAAGCATAGTCAAGACACCGCATAAGTTCTGTGCCTCCCTGCCTCTCATGAAAGAACGCTATTAGTGCCCCCACCCCCTCAGAAAAAAGGTCCTGGCTCCCGTCCTGCTTCTTTTACAATCCCTGGATGTCTAAATACAACTCCAATGCCTCTCTCTTGCAACAACCAAATAGTTATTCCTCTCTTGTAATATTTCTGTCATCGAGTACCATGTTGGTGCTACATTTAGAATGTTAATTCATTAACACTTCCTCTGCCTTTTTCTTTCCTCAAGAAAGTGCTCAGATTCTCGCCTTAGTAGAGCTGTGCAAATAGCAAAATCTGGAGTGCTAAGCACATTCAAATAATAAAGCTTGAGTGTAAATCGAATCTAATAGTTTTTAGCTAGTTGTTCCTAAATATTTGTTTAATAATTATCAAATACTTGGAATTGAAATAACAGAAGATAACACTGCAGAGGTCCCCTAGGCACAGTTTCATGAGAAAGGAACATGAAAGCATTTCTTTTCACCTAAATTGATGAAATGCTAGAGAATTGCATTCCCTAGTTGTTTCACCAAGGATGAGGCAGCGCAGAGACTGAATTGTATTTATTTACGTGATTTGGTGCAACCAATGTGCAACACATTACACGCTAGAAGAAAATATGCTATTTCCTCCACCTTTCCCCTCTTCAACTTCTGCGTGGGCCCATCTGATTTTGCTGACAAGGGCCTGCTATCCTGAAATTCAAAGCTATGAATCTGCCCTGAATATTTAACTGTATAAAACATCTGAAATATAAATGCTGAAAATATGTTTGATTTCTTCTTGTGAATTTCTGGTCCGAAACAATATTAATTTTAAAGCCCCCACCTCGTTCCGCATAGGTCTAAACTAGCACTTTCATGAGTCGTTTCGTTTAAAGCCGTAGCAAAGCTCTAAAGATAGCTTTCGCGCAACACCAGAGTATCATTCGGTGAAGTATGTTAAAGATATAAAGGGGCCACAGTAATGGCGCAGTGCATCTCCATGTGGGAACCAGCGTATTTATGAGTAGTTATATTCACGACCACAGCAGAGTTTCAAAGGCAGCTTTGACGCAATGCGAGAATGTAACGGGGTGAAACATCATTAAAAAAATTTGAAGGGGCCACTGCCAATATGACATTGACTGTATTTCCTTAGGGAAGTTTGAACACTTTGAATGGTCAAATTCCAGTGTAAAGTGAATTGAATAGCAAACGCTATTGGAAACATATTCGGAAGTTAAAATATTCTCACGCCCCTAGAGCCCATGTCTGTTAAGGACAGCGACTCACCAAGGGTGCGCAAGTGCCTGTCTGCAGGTGTATCTCCGCTCCACATCCACGCAAATTAGATGCCTGATGAAGTCCTTCGCTGCAGAACAGAAAACGGCACATATCTATGGCAACAATGGCAATGAACAAATTGCTGCGGGTTGCTTTCTGCTTTCTTTTTTTGCTACACACAACAACATTAGCACGCACTGGGCTGCAGAGTACCATGTGCTGCACATTTAGCAACTGTGCAACTTAAGACAGGACAGTGAAGTGGACGAAAGACAGGGCGCTAATCTTGCATGAAAAGTGGTGTTCTTTATGTGTTTTACATTTGTTTTGCTACATAGTAAATACATATGTAGACTGAAAAATGAGTGCCTTATATGTTGAAGGTAAACATTAAGCAGTAGTATGTATGGTTCGGTAAGTAAGCTGAGAAGAACATATTTTATCTCCATCTGAAGTCTCGTAAGCATCTAAAAACCTGATGTTTAGGAACTGGCTCGGTTCCTTCCTCAGAGCGGATTGTGTGGACGTTGCAGCGGTGCCTGGTGGGCACGACAGCCACTGACCTTGGGCTTTGCTGCAGAGCATATTCTGTGCGCATACAGCGGGGGTAGGGTTGCGAGGGAACAATTGAGGTTTTAAGTGGTTCGCTGAATATGCCATGACTGTAGTAGTAGTTTTCCCCCTCTGGTTGGTCTCACTTTCTAGAAGTGCTGTTTTGTGGAAGTTTATTTTGTGGTCAAAAGCCTCTGAATGTCGGCGAAGGTGCTGCACCCTTTGTTCAGACGTCGCTAACATATTTCCTGAATCATTCAGCTAGGTATTTTGTTTACCCAATATACAACGAGGGTCACTCAGTGCATGGAATTTCGTTTACAATCCCAAGCATCACTGCCAATTGCTGGCCGGTCTTTGGGGAGGGGAAGGTGACAGCCCAGCATGCATGAAGGCATGTGCGTGATGTGCACCCCTTCTTTTATAAAAATCCGTGCTAATGCCTCGCTAACTCTTTGCAGATATGGAACAAGTATGTGTTACGTTGAGCTGTCAATCAATGCCGATTGGGGGTCGTGTAACTACTTTTGCTCTGTACTGTGGATGACAGATTGAAGTTTTTTGAATATGCATTTCTTCAGAGGTCCCCAACTAAGCGAGCTTCTTTTTTCCTGCACTTCGTGTCAGTGGACCACATGTTTTTGGCTCTGTGAAGTAAAGTGGTCACAAACAATGCCATGTGGCTGGCGGGATGAGAGGCATCATATGCAAGGTAATGGCCAGAGTGCATCGGCTTCCTGTGAATGAAGAACTCCAAGAAATTGCCTTTTCTTGCCACCTGGGCGTTGAGAGAGACAAGGGTGCGGTCGAGTTTACACTCGGCCGGGAACTGTACCGCTTGGTGAAGGGAATTTCGGGCAAGTGCCATCTGAAGTTCTCAATTTCAGAAGTCTTCACGACACAAAAACAATCTTTCATGTTCCAAAGAAGAGCGTGGGTTGCGGCGAGAAGAAACTAAGTGCTTTCCGTTCTATATTCTTTATGATCAGGTTTGCCACTGTGACAGAGATGGAGGCTGCCATTGCGGTTCCACTGCTTTGCTCAAAAATCGTTCCTTCGTGGGAAAAGTATGCGCTAGACAGGCCGAGTTCCAGTAAGCGGCAGAGAATATCAACGGTGAAGGAAGAGCTATCTCTCAAGCTTGCGTCACCCTAAAAAACAGCACGGACAGCGGATACTGCTGAGATGACTGGTACATTAGTGAACAAATATAAGACGTTGAATGAGACGAGGCTCTCATCTTTGTCGATGCTCACCTCTGATGCTAGCTGCACGAAGTGGCTGGAGTTGCAGGCATGAGTTCAGGTCTCCCGAGTGAGAGGGGCCCTCATCAAGGCACCCCTCATTGTACATTGATAAGACGAAAACTAACCTGCTTAATGACTCGGGCAATTTCTGAATGACATTCGCAACATCCGGAAGCTGAGCAAAGAGCGCAGAACCACTGTCGAACTCTCCAAGATGTTTTACCACAAAATAAACTTCAACAAAACGACCATTTTGGAAAGTGAGAGCAGCTGGAGGAAATTGCTGCTCGAGTTTTGACATAATCAGCCAATCACTCAAAACCTCAATCGTTCCCTCGGAGCCCCCCCCACTCGCCCTTCTTTTAAAGCATGCGCACAGAATACACTCCCCGGCAAAGCGTGGGGTCATTTAGCACAGCACGAGTGTCTACAAGACATTGCTGCAAAGCTGCCACCGTCCCCTCCGGGGATGAACCAAACCGGTTCCAAAACGTTAGGTTTTTGCATGTTTATGTGACTTTCAATGGAGATAAAATAAATGTTTTTCTCTGTCTTATATGTTGTATGGTGATAGGTGTGAGGGTAGATTCAAGCTGCTTTTTCACAAATTCCACCTGGAGGATCCTCAACAAATGTGTTACAGAACACATTCTCAGTTATAGCCGACCTCAATGTCTTGTCCAAAGTTGTTATGCACGGGCCGTAGTGCACTTGGAGCCTGCTATCCCTGCAATATATTCTATTCAGAACATGCACTGTGAATCGTACTGAGAGTGCCATTTTAGGTGAGTATACATGTCAGTGATGATGACCGTTTGATGTGAGCAGTCAAGAGAAAACAAAATAGTGAATATGATGCATTTTTGGCACACGAGATGGCTGGTGTTCAGCTCGCTACTTTCTTCTCTAAGCGCAAGCATGCTGTGGTGGTTATGCAGTGTGCACAGCGAAAACATAACTGAGAACCACTTGGACTGCTAGCTTCACAGAGATAGATTTTTTTTTTATTCACAGATTTGCTAGTTTTCTAACAGAAAATAAAAAAGCTAGGCTAAGGCCTTAAAATGCACCTAAGACCCTGGACCCTGTACAATCAGTGCTCTGCAAAGCAACGTTGCTGTAAAGGAGCAGCATAAGCACACATGATCATTGTGCTGAATAGTGAAATGAAACATACTAGCCAATCTGCAGGAATAGCAGGAGTATGCAAGAATATGAAGAACATGGGTAACATTATATTAATGTGAACTAGCAGCCATGATGCCAAGAAAAGTATAAAGGGTCTCATTAAAGTAATTGTAATGCAAATGAGAAGAGAGATAAGTTGCCAGCTGCTGACCCACAGGCCGCACGATCGAATTACGGCTGTGGCGGCTGCATTTTCAATGGAGGTGAAAAGGTTGCAGGCCCGTGTGCCGAGATTTGGGTGCACGTTGAAGAACCGCAGGTGGTCGAAATTTCGGGAGCTCTCCACTACAGCGTCTCTCATAATCATATGCTGGTTTTAAAACGTTAAACGGCACATATCAATCGAGATAACTTGCCGGTGGCAAGTTTTTGTCCACTTTTCTTATCTTCACACTTATACTAGTTATTACATCTGATAACATCACCTATGCAGTAGACTCTCGGTACACGAAAATCATTTAAATGAAACTGATGCTTAAACGAAACACGGAGTTTTGACAAGATTGGTTTTGTACTTGTATTCTGTGCACCTGTACATCTCTCGTTAAATCATATTGAAGGTAACCTGTTAAATGAAACACATTATCCCAGTCATGAGTAACATGAGTAATCTAAAGTGGCATAAGTACCATAACTAACAATATAATATAATATTCAGCCTGAAAACGTTTTCACAGACAACACAACAATGTGAAACACAGTCAATTACGGGTTCATATTTGTCCTTTATACACTATTATTGAAGGTGATTCTCTTATTATCTCACACATGCAAATCTCACACATGCAAATCTCACACATGCAAATCTCACACATGCATATCTCATATATGCACTGAATCTTGCCGCCATTCACTAGGGATACGAAAACATTTTGTTATGAGAGAGAATTTTATTCTCTTTGGCTTTCACTATAGTATCGGCGAGTCGATGTCTATACGTCGGAAACGGAGGCAGCGTAAAAGCCAAACCTCAGCATTTTCTTTTCGATTCATGTTCACTCCCTTTGGATTTACTGCAACTACATAACAAGCCTTTTCAAGAGCTAACAGCTGCATCTGCCTGAACTTTATCCGCGTTCTACTCTGAACGCATCATTATTCGTGTTAGTAATTGCTGCATGAATACCACATTCAACGTGCCACTTTGCTTCTCTTTAACTTGCATATTTCATTCATTACGCGAGTGCTCTAGGTTATGCCAAAGTAGCTGCTTACCCGAGTCTGAGATTTCGTCCCAGTAAGGAGAATCAAACTCAAACTCTCCTTTCAATATCTGAGCAAACAAGTTGGCGTCACTTTCATCGTAGAACGGCGGGTAGCCACAAAGCCTGCAATGCAACAAGAAATTAGAACAAGAAAACATAACAAGCGCTCTCACTGCCACTGTTTCTGATCAAGAGGGTGCGTGGCATTAGAAAACAGGTTAACTCTTTTCAGCACGGTGGTCACCCCCAGATAACCATCTATTCTTCATTTTTTCCTCTTGAGCCCTGCATGTCCGATTTTGAATGTAAACATTCGACAGAAGTCTGTCTGGTTGGGTATGAAACTGGGAGATGGTTTAGTTCATAGGAAGCCAACGCACACTGGCCGCTACCTTCAATTCGATTTTTCCCACCTCGCCTGCCACAACGCCTCAGTTGTGACCACGCTACTCGAGAGAGCTAGGAACTTATGCTCTAATGAGACAGAGCGAAAGAAAGACGAGGCCCGCGTAATTGACGACCTCAGAAAAAGCGGATACCCAGAAAACTTCATTCGAGCCGCCACCCGCCGCGCAGAGCAACAGATAATACGAAAACCCCAATCAACCTTAATTGGCAGCCCACCGAAACGCGTGCAGGTTCCATACGTTCAGGGAACCAGGGAGATGTTCGGGCAGATCTTCAAGAAGGAAGGGGTTTGCATCGTGCACGTGCCTTCGTGTACGCTGGGCCTCCTCCTCCCCCGCCCGAAAGACCGGCCAACAATGGACAGGTCGCCCGGTGTCGTTTACAAAATTCTGTGCGCCGAGTGCCCCTCGTCGTATATCGACGAGACGAAAAACCTACCGGAACGACTGAAGCAACACGCCAACGATGTGCGGAAGTTCTACAAAGAGCGCAGCGCAGTTGCCGAACATGCTGAGACGTTGGATCACCAGATAAATTTCGAAGCGACGGCCATCCTTCAAAGCGAGCCGAACTGGGGGAGAAGGTTGTTACTCGAGTCGTGGCACATACAGAGGACAGCCCATAACATCAACCGCTCTCTCGGAACCCTTCCCCCAGTGTATACACACGGACTGCGCTCCACGGCAAAACGAGAGAGAGAGGGGGGTCATTATCCACCCTGCGAGTGCTTTGAAGACGCCGCTGCTATGTAGCCTCTGCAGTCACCCCTGAAGAAGGAACCAAGTCGGTTTCGAAACGTCGGATTTCTTCAAAACTTTTGGTTGGAGTCCAAACCATCTCCCAGTGTCGGATTTTGAATGGCGTGTATTTTAATTCTGGAATCTGACAGAGATGACGCTGACTCGCTTGAACTTCAATGTGACATGTTACATTTGCGTTATTCCGGCTACCGTCATCTTCAAGGTGCGCTAGGCGGTAGATTCGAGATGTACTTATAGATGTATCAGTATATGCTGTTCCTACTATGTTGATAGTGCAAGATAGCATGTTGTATGAGTAGCTAACGTTAATGACTATAGAAATGAAGCTTTGTACTTGCACAGAAAGTCGCCAGTACATGCTTACTGCTTGGTGGTCACTTCAAGTGACCACCTTATTGAAGTGACCACCTTATGACTTTTAAACAAAAATTGCCAATTTTTGGTTTCTTGCGAAAAAATCATTTTCTGCAGAAGGTTTCACCATTTTTTCTATAAAACTGTCTCCCGCCAAAAGTGGAGTTCTCTGCATGAGAGAGTTGAGATGGACAAGTATGCTGCATGACGAGTACAAATCTTGCCTTTCCATTAAGGCCTTATACGCTTCGTGTTCCTCGTGAATAAAAAATATATAGCATAGTAATTCGCGTCCACACAAGTGGGGCCAAAGAGCGACCAAAAAACTAAATGTGATATGGTGTCATACATGTGATGTCACATTATGAAGTCATTGTGACATCACAGATAGCTGATACTTCAGCCTTTATAACGATTTCATCAATGATGTCACCACCACATCAGGTATCATGCACCTATTTGTAATCACAATCACAGTGAAGCACTCATTGCAGGCCGTATCAAGGCTAGCAATGCTCAAAACTGGGTTAAAATGACCGAACAAGCTCTAAAATGATGCAATTATTGAAAATAACCAAGCAATCACCATAATTAACTTGCAACTGCCAAAAACACTACGAAAACATGTGGCTGACTGTGACTCTCTGCAAGAGAGGGTGCCATTGCCTCGCACACTGCAGCATTTCTAGCTCTCCCCAGCTCTCTACACAATGCTACCAAAGGAAAGTTTCTTCAGGTGGCGTTGCTCAATGGCGCTACGTCTGAAGGGGCAAACAACCTGAATGAAGTTGTTGCAGAAGACACGTACATCCACTGCATGTACAAGCAGGAGGTCGACGAAGCACAGCGAAAACTATTGTGTGCGTCGCATGCCAATATCTCCCCAACAAGATTGCACTCAAGCCGGGGAAACGCTACACGCTAATATCAAACACTGGCATCACCGACGGTTCGATAAATGGGGCCGTGGGAACATTATAAATGGTAACCACCGGGTGCCCATGCTATGCACTTCTTCAGGTTTCGCAGTAGTGGGGTTGCCATACGCTACTCTTGAACCAACTTTCAGTACCTTTATCATCAAACAAATGCCTTCGAATGTCGCCAAGTCTGCCAGAACTACACTTGGACCTCAATATAACGAACCCGGATTTGGTGAAATATCAGCTATTTAATGAAGTGGAGGAAATGGTCCTGCAATGAATATAGTGTTAGGAGTATACCTTTAAAACGAGTTTTTGTATATAACAAACTTACTTTCGTGCGATATGCAACTTTGTTACAATGATGTGCGAGCATGGTGCCAAAAAAAATTTGTCATCTGCTAACTCTTCAATAGTGAAGATAGACAATTTTAATTTTATTTTCTTTAATATTCCTTTCATATTTACGTACTACTGTTGCACAACTGTTCACTCAACTACTCTCGTAATGCTGCTGAGTTTTAATTCGGTTGCTTAAATTACGAGATAAACTTCTAGCACTCACTTACCTTTGTACAAAAAAGAAACGCTGGCTACTGTATTTTGTAAGATAAAGCCTTTATTGGAGCCGTTTACAGGTGAAGGAAGTTATGGAAATTAGTCTATCAAATGTTCAATAATGCAATATCGCAGAGTGCCTTAATAATGGTTCACACTTCAAATAAGAGATTTTTTTTCTTTTGTGCTCAAGTGTTTACAAATGCGGTTATGCTGGCCATATCGGAATTTTTTTTTTTTTAGATTTCTTTCTTTTCGGTTTTTTTTAAATAAAGACGGCTCTTTTCAGAGCCACCTAAACAATGCATTTGCTGAATTGCAATGAGAATTCTGTACTCTTGCGGTGACGCTCTCCATCATCGAAAAATACCTATTAAAAAGTGTGTTTTCGCTTGCATTCGTTTTTTTGGACTGCCCTATTTTCCAGACGTTTTCAAGGTCCATTGAGGGTCCAGGAAATCGAATGTTAACTGTACAATTGCATGCATTTGAGAATGCATGCATACTTAGATCTAAGTGAACTTTGCGAAACTATGTGATAAAAAATTAACCTGGGGTCTCCCTACAATGCACCAAATCACGGTTCTGGCAAGTAAAACCCCAGAATTTGGTTTTAATTAAACAAGGGGCACCTTCACTCTTATAGTTTGTTTTCAGGCGGTATTAAAGTCTTGTGGCACTTTGTGGCTATAATTTGAGGCAGGTGTTCACATAAAGCACGTATGTATTTACACACCCTCTTCTGGGTCAGTGGATCACAAAATGACCATGTGCTGACCTTTTGCATACTCAAATAATGGAAGAAATATTTCTAGAGACATAAAATTGTTGAGCTGGTTTTGAACGTCAAAAATCTACCACAATAACATAGTGGATTGAGCGGCTTTTCATTTCACACCAACTTCAATCAGTAATATAGCTTGACCTTACTGTACAACAGGTGCATATCAAGTGCACATCTCAGTATTGTCTACTCACAAAATATAGGCGATCACTCCTATAGACCAGACATCGACAGCTTTTCCGTAAGGTTTCTGAGCTAGAACCTCTGGAGCTGTAAAAGAACAACAAGTGAAGCAGACAAATGATTACACGAAACAAAGATCTTCTAAAATGTATGTGTGCCAGGACATCAGATTGCTATAAGACAAGACACACAAAGCTGAGAGTAATTTGCAGTCACTGCAAGATAATCTCCTGCCGATAGCAATTATATAAACATTCTTGATGGTTTTCTGCCGTTGCCATCACCGTTCATGATCTGCATGAAACCCAAATCATTCACATACCCCGTTGATCATACGTTCTACTTGTGAGTAAAAGGGCGTGAGCAGGGGCGACAAGTATGGCTCAAGCAGAGATTAAACAAGAGGACCCATCTCTGTCACATCAAGGGCGGACGCAATAACATCACCCCCATGCGAATCCTGCCAACAACTATGGTATTCACTCGCGTAATGACCCCACCCCACCTTTTGGTCCTGGAAAAAATGAAAGAAATAGTTTAATGTATTTGTTCATTTTATTTTGGTGTGACAGCCAGTAATGTTGACGATCGAAACAATGTTAAATCAAGCTGTTATATCACAAAATAACGACGCAATAAAAGTCAAAACACAGTTAGGCAAACATGCTAAACAGTTGCGAGCATCACAGCATCACGGCTGTCAATCAAATTTTAAAAGTCGCGCCTTTTGAAGTAGAGCATTATCTGTTGAATGCAGGAGGAACCTTTCTGCTTGCAATTTTACGTGGTAGAAAACATAAGGAGAGAAAAAATAAGTTAGAATGATTGCAGAAACGACAAAGGATGAGAACATAAGAAAGCACTGATGCAGACTTCTTCAAGCTGTTTACATGGTTACGGCTAAGATAGATTGACTAGACCCAATCGACATTATGAATCAAGAAAAACATATTAATATGAAAAGAGGCCCCTAGCATTCCTATAGAAGCTATACAGCCATGGTTGATGAACAATGGGCAATAAATGTGTACGCTATATTCTGCACTTGGTGGCGATGTTCCCTGAAGCACGACCTTTCTCAAGCTGACAATTCTACGTCTTCCGTCATGGTTTGCGATGTTCAGCAACAACTTTGGGACCCTAGGGAACGCACCAAAAGACCCAAAAACATGTGCAGTCGAAGAAGGGTCAAGGGGAAGCCTTTCCTCTCTCTTCCAATGAGAAGTTTGGGGAGGAGGGAGCACAAATTCAGCCCTGCACTTCATATTACTTCGCGAGCAGCACATGTAAGATTATATATTCATGTTGAAATAAAAACGAAAAGCCTTCGAAATGTTCTAAACAAAATGCACGCGTGGTACTGTTAGCAAGAAACAGCCCCTTAGGAAAGCATTAGGACAAGGTTCTTGCATGTAACATGAAAATGCAGTAAAAAACGTAAGTTTAAACCTAAGTTTCACTGAAAACAAATGGCAGAATATGTGCAAGAGAACTGAATTTTATGAAGCAGGAACACAAAGCAAGAGTAGATGGCAGATGCACTGCTATTCTTAGAGCACATTTTGCGACACTGGTGCTATTCTGTCCGATTTCAATGTTGTGAGCATGCGTAACAGGGCATTACCGAACTAAAGACATCATAAACTGGCCCCAAAACTCCATCCCTACATCGACTCTGTGCTCAGTGTTGAAAAATCGACTACTCATTGGAAGCTCCAAGATTTTTCATCAATTCTGCTCCAGAGAGAGGAAGTGCACAGGAAGGCATCTTGGTTGACCCACAGGTCGCGGGATCGAATCCCGGCTGCGACTGCTGCATTTCCGATGGAGGCGGAAATACTGTAGGCCCATGTGCTCAGATATGGGTGCACGTTAAAGAACCCCAGCTGGTTGAAAGTGCTGGAGCCCTCCACTACGGCGTCTCTCATAATTATATGGTGATTTTGGAATGTTAAACCCCACATATCAATCAATCAGGAAGGCATCTTGGCACGATCCGTTCTTAGAGCGAATGCATAACTTGAAACTTTGTTTTCTGAGCCCTGGAGTAATTTTTTTTTTGCTAGAATTTTCTCTATAATCTTCGCTACTGAGCTATGTGAGAAATCCATCACTGAAAGACTTGTTTGTGATCGGAAAGGTCCTTTTAACTTGCCAGCAATGAAAAAGCTGCAAACAAACATGTGAGCAAAGGAAAAAGAATGATAAAAAGGCGCACCGACGTATCCGGGCGTGCCGCATGCCGTCGCCATGATTCCAGAGTCTTCCATCTTGGAAAGCCCGAAATCGCTGATCATTATCTTGGACTCTTCATCTGGACTATAGTACAGCAGGTTTTCGGGCTGCGCATGACCAAAGGTACCACATGTGAGCATTGTTTACCACAGCACACAAATATTCACAAGCTCGATAGTCATATTTAAAAAGTAAAAACACACTCGCCCTTTACTCAGCAATTCTATACCATGAAGTTTCCTGAAATTAACTAGAGGGGACTCTGGCGCTGCAATCTACAATCGTTCAGCGACCATGGCAATGATGGGTAGTACACGGATTTGCCTAGTCTTCGTACTTGCGGGCGGCGAATTGCACTTGTGGCTTCGTTTATTGCCGTGTTTCGGTGTTGTTTCGAAAAAAAAAAAGAACCCTTTTGAACTTCGTGACCCGATTTGAAATGGTAAGCCTAAAATAATAAGGTGGTAAAGCGCGACCACTTAACATGTGCCAATTTTTGTTTGGTGAGAAAAGAGTTCCAAGCCACATGAACACACACAGAGCCAAAAGTACAAAGATTAGACAAATCTATGTCTTACCCATCATTCCCATGCTCGCTGAAATGCCGTGCATAGCAGCACCCATAGACACTAGCACCACAGTTCTCTCTAGTGTATATTTAGCAACCACCATAACACCAAATTTAATTCCATGTGTGTAGCCGATTGCTTTGACTAAGAGAAGCAACTCACAACTCAACTACATTATTCTCTTCTGGTCCTTTTGCATCTATTTTTGTCACGGTTGACATGGTTACATAACTGTAAACAACTGATTATATAATACACATGCGGCTCTTCAATTGATATGTGTGCGTGTCTTTAGCGTCATTTCGTAACATTTCACTCAACAAAAGATGCTACGGTACATGGGATATGTCAATACTTTTTTTTATGGTTGGGCTTCCCTGTTTGATAGCAGAATGTTGGCATCTATCACATAAACAGGCTACCAAGTATTAAAGCAGTAGTATAGCTGAATGGCTGGCTGTAAAAAATGGTCTGAAACTGTTTACATCATTTGCGTGAAGAAGCATAAATTTGCCTCGCTGGCCACTAAACTCAAATGCAGACCTGCAATGTATGAGACGAAAATTATCACCGCACCTCACACATTTACTGCTCAAATCGAGGTACCCTCGCAGGTTATGATGCAGCACCTCAAACAAATAAAGCCCAGTGAAATTGAGGGTAAGCACAGAGCTAAGGAAAGACGCATAAAATCGACCTTGCTTAGTGGAAACACAGTATATTGCATACAGCCCACGACAGATGATGTTTATCAGAAACTTCAGAAAAGGGCCCTTTCATTTATTGACCTCGTTATTAGATAAGGCACGTTTCCTTCTTTAACTAGAACAAACGTGATAGTTATACGGCCTCAAATAGTTCCGGTATTCTCTAAATGCAGTGAACCCTGCAGAGTGCAGTACTATATACATTCAAACCTTCATATAATGAAGATGGACATAATGAGTTATTGGTTATAACGAAGTGAAAAATAATCTAGCAATAGATATAGTGTTGGGAATGTACCTTTATAACAAATTTTCGGATATAACAAGCTTATTTCTGAGTAAGATTCAACTTTATTATAATGAGGTATGAGTGTACTCGCTTTCAAATGAACCCAAAGGGACAGTGAAAATTTGTTAGTCTCATTGGAAGTTACCCCAATAAAAAAGTCGCAACATGCCAAGTGTGCCAACACATGTTCAGTGATGCTACTGAGCACTTCTCATTTGTTGCAATTTTTTATTTGTAGCAATTTCAATGGCAGCAAACATTCATTTCGGAACACTTTAGAGCAAGTAATATTGCATCTGTAGCACCCGGAGGCAGTTATTTTTACATTCTGGTGTACACTGAAGAAGAGGGTTGCATGTACATTGAGACATTATTATTACAAATTATTATGATGCACTACACAGGTATCTCGATTCATTGCATGTCACATAAAAAAAATATGCTCTCCGCTGGCATTAATTCACTCGCTCATTCTAAAATAACGGCGTCAGGCAATCGTATGCAGTAAAGCAACCTCCACAGCATTTTTTTTTATGCATTTAAGTAAATATAATATTAATCAATAAATTTGGATGAACAAAAGCGTGACCCCATGACATACAACAGGGCCTCAGTGCATGGCCATCGACAGGATTTTGTATTGACCGAAGGGGGTTGCAAGTGACCCTTTGACAACCCCTTACTCTTGCCCATATCTCAATGCTAATTCTGCAATAGTGAAAGTCAGCCTCTCTTTTGTTTTCAGAAATTTGAGTTGATCTTTGTGATTCATTCTTCAATACTGCCTTAAAAGGCCACTCACCAGGTTTGACAATTTTGAGCTGACAAGTGCAATGCGTAGACGAGACGTTCATGATCACGTCTGCCAAAATTTGCAACGCTACGCACCGCGGAAATGGGTCAAATTTCAAGATGAACGCTGCTCCCTCTCCCCTCTGCCGGCACGCGCCTAGAGAATGAGGGCATGATGTGCGTGTATGAATGGCCCTACGTACACGGCAATGCAGTGACGTTGGTCCTCTACGTAGACGACTCTGCTCTGATGTTGCAAACAGTGGCACGTGACACAGTGAAAATTATTTAACATGGCATGCATAGTGTGAAATTTAAAAATAGAACTTCAACCTTGATTTTTCGCCGCTAATAATGAACTTATGATAGTGAAACATACGGCATCAAATACCTGAGAGAGCCTTTTTTTCAAGCCATAACAAGTCATTCGTTCTCTTTAGTGTCCCTTTAATTACATGCCATGAGCCGTTTGAAGCGAACTACCAGAATATGTTCCTAGAACAACGTAAAACGATGACTTGCCCGAAGTCTCCAAGCCTCTGCGATGAGCATACTTTGCCGTTGAGCTTATACGCCCGACAGAGGCTGTATCGACACCGTGCATAGTGTCGTGGCTTCATCTCAAATCAAGTGCTATATTGTCTGAGGAATATTTTTGCCCACACTTTGACGCATTTGGCAGTAGTACTGCTGGTGACAAACATCAACAAACTCGAGGCTCTGGTGCAGTTTGGCACAATTTGGCACAATCTGGTGGAGTATGGCACAATCACTGCATGTTACTTAAAGGACACGTGACACCAATTTTTAAAGCTCAAGATGCTTGTTTTGTTTGAGAGTCCTGCATAGGGGAGCACTCCTGACCAATTATTAGCGATGAATGTTGTCTGTAAGATATTTTATTTGGTTCCAAAGAAAGGGTGCGTGCTCGTCTGAGTATTCGGGCGCAATCGACATTTTCCGTGGTTTGGCAAAGACAGGTGATTCCTTCGAGGCGTTCCAGAGGTCGAGCAACTATCGTCGACCTCGGAGAACATTTGCGAGGCACTCACAATACCTCAAGTGGCACCCAAGGAGGACAATTGTTCGCCACCCCTCTAGCTCTACTGTCGGGCTGCTCCCCAGGGGGGTTTGTCTGCGTACGCCGAGAACGCTTTTCCATTTTGTGAAGGGGAACACACTCGAAGCACTTACACTATTTCATACTTCATCGCCTGCGGGTCCCCCTATTTGAAAATAGCGTGTTCAGGGTCACCAAAGCTTCAGCACACGTAATCTCGTGAGCTGCCCCACTGTGGGGTGCTAGTCTCTTATAGTATTTAAGTGGGCATTTCGAACTTGAGCAAAATCGTTCTGAATTAATAATGCTAGCATTAATTAAATGATGTATTAAGTATCTACAATCCAATTTAGACATTTCCAGACGCAAAGCTACAAACTACAATAAAAAAGTTGCAAACAAAGCTTTTGCCATCAAAGGTCCTTTAAAATCAGTGTATGTAGTAAGTTCACAATGTAAGGTAAATAAAAAAGAGCTGCTGCTTGGTCCTGCATGACTAAAAACAATGGTTTCAAGTGCTCACCCCCCCCCCCTCAGTGTCATTCAATTTGCAATTATTATATTTGCACCAGTGTGTGAATCGGTGAGCCGTCACAGAGAACATTCCTTTTTATTAGCGATACGATGGAAATTATGCTCTGACTTCTCTGAAATTGATAATGGTCCCAGTGCATGTGCCTGTGAAGTTGTTTCTTTGCACGACAATGCTGTGGTCTGGCGGCCGACGGGCTGCGAGAACTCAAAAATTAGAAATGTGTCGAGCTGCTAGCAATTTGTACGAAAGTTTACCTCAGCCATACAGTAGTTCAAAATGTGAAGTAATGCAATATGAAGCAGATCCGTTTCCTTCAAATCTGCGGCGACCAAACAAACCTTCCCAATGTTCAGTGTATGTAAAAATTTCATGTAATGGAGTTTTGTCTGAGTAGAAGTATACTAATGTAGATTTTTAAACGGAACACCATGCTCAATTCTAATTAAACGACTGCAGCAAGGGTGTAGCATTAAGGCACTCCAGATACACTTATGTACAAAAAAGTACACAAAGTCAAACTCAAGGCAACAGAAAAGTACCTTCAGGTCTCTATGGACAACCCCTTGTGAATGCATGTAGTCTACAGCTTCAAGGATCTGCCGTATCAAGTCGCTGGCGTCCTTCTCTGTGTAGCTCCCCTTCTCCACTATGCGGTCAAAAAGCTCGCCCCCTGTAACGCTGCAAGGAGGATCACAAAGTTAGCACTGCCTTTTGCAAGCCTGCTGCAGCGTAGTTCCAATAACAAGCCCCGCAATTAAAATGGCATAGCACGAGCAGTATGCCTGCTAACGATACAGAGGTCAATCTTTTCAGAGTGCCAAATCGACAATACAAAAGCATGTAAACTGAGCATCATTTCTTAACCCTATTAGTATGCACTATTGCACAGGTGAAGCAACATTTGCAACATTAACATCTACAACATTAACATTTGCAATGTTGTGGCAACAGTTAAGTCAACAGATTTTGCAGATAGTGCTGTACATAAGAGCCTCCCAGGCACACTTCAACAAATAAAAAACTGAACACAAGAAAACATGTTGAAAAAGTATAAACATTTTTCAAAAACGTATAAACAATATGAAGGATAAAGACAAGGCACAGCTTGGTGCATAAGCAGAGCAAGATTGCACTATAGAAGGAGTGAAATTCAGTTGTTAACTGTAGAAAGTGCAATCACGGGCGAATATAAAAATGACAGACACAACACCCTGCCTGGCATCTTTACCTATGTCCCACTACGAGCTATTGAACTGTCTTCCTTTATTGCGCACTAGCCTAGTTCGATCCCTTACTGCATAAAAACTATCGCATTACACAAGATAAAACATGCCATTTAAATGCAACTGTACTTTCAGTGATCATTAGCTGAGGTAGCTTAGAAATTTATAAATCTATCTTAATATTGTACTTTACACTAAAGAGAACAGGTCATCGCAAGCCAATCAGTTTGGTCAGTTTGTTTCACTACAAACCATCAGTGCTAGCACAGTCACCAATTCGTGAATGAATGCAACCCTAGTTAAGACTTACAGTTCCATAACGAGGTAGACTTTGTTTTTGTCCTCATATGTTTCCAGAAGCTGGACTATATTTGAATGCTTCAACCTGAAAGAGCAAGGGCACGCAGTCAATATAACAACCCACCTTGAATGTACTGACAGAGCATCGCAAATGTTAAAGACTCGGCTATACTAATCAGCACCAAGGAAACCCAGCAACCAAGTGAAACAAACATTGAGTCTTCGGCAATCTATCTTTATGTAACAAGACGAGCATCTTATAACTAGTGCTCCATTTCGAAGCTGTGCAACACAACATGCATGAATCAATCTCCCTGCGAGATGACTGTTGAGAAAGAGACAAGTACACTAGCATAAAATTGTATGAACGGTTTTTCCCTTTGCTGGGCGTTGCTCGTGTCTGAAAAGGAAGTGACCACTGTTGAAATGAAAAATACAATGAACAGCAGACAGTAGTCATTCACTCCAAATCTGATAGTCAGGCCAAGGCAAACCTATCTACAAACCTATCAATGTATATACAGAGCAAGTGCTGCCACTCATGTTTGTTCAATATTCCATGCGAAATTCAATCACAAATGCTCCGTTTTCATTGTCATATATTACATTTTAAGCACTTTACGACAACTAACTCATAGGCCAATATGCAACCATGTCGTGTGTACCATTAGAATCCAGAGCATGACTGAAAAATCGTGACAATGTCTTAAAAAATTTTTGTGGATAATATTGCCATTTTGGCAACTATATGCACAGGACAAGAAGAATGCATTACATCTACGTCCACTTATCAAATTAAGTGAAAGATAGCATCGTCCACTTAATTGGCCCTGCACTACTGTTCTTGCTTGAGCTAACTTTTTACAGCGAAAGTTGTTATGAGATCACAACTCGAGTCACACGCAGTTGTCCGCCGCGACTGCCACTGTCCGATAACCTCATCATACGAAATTAGAAAAAAAAACTTAGCACCAATGACACAGTGGGGCTCTAACCCAGGTCTGCTGGGTGCCAGCTCAGTATTCTACCACTGAGCCACACCAGTGCTTGGGACTTGTTGGCAAACTTGCCTCAGCAGGCTTAATGTCGGGCAAGCAATCACGTAATACGACTTATAAAGCGTTTTAAAACAGCGAAAGAACAACTACTCGTCGCACAATGCAAATAGTGAAACGAGAGGGTCGTCCAATGCTTCAACCCATTACAAGAGCTTTTTCTTGTTCCCCTATAAACTGTGGCGCATACCCATTACAGCCATAACTCATCATTGTCTTCAGTCACTGCATAACAATTGGCACAAAATTCCTTACAAGTGTTTAGCGGATACCACGCTTCTCAGGAAAATGACGAGAAATAGCATCGCAAATGCCAGCCTACTACCCAAATAATATTATTATTGATGCCCTAGTGGGTATCAAGCAAGTATGCTTGCAGTAGTTAACCAATGAGTCTTTTGAAAGGCTCTGAAAGGCTGCTCTTCTAGCTTTCGGTGTGACTGTGCTGCCCCTTTCGTGCAGGCCTGTCATTTTTTTTTTGTACTGGCATCATTACTGTCACACAGAAGCCTTCATACAGGTACAATGTATCATCAAAACAATAGAACTTCGAACTTCATTATGCTTTTGTCATGTAAACGAACAAAAATCTACTGTTTAATGTCAACTCCCTTAGACACTGTGTGACACGGGTATGCAATGAACAAGAGAGGGATGACTTGTCAATACAAGTCCCAACTAAATAAGTGGCGCTACTTTTTTATCATTTCTCTTTAGAATTCCTCATTACTTTTCCTCACTTATACACATAGAAACTGCAATTAGGTGATGCAACTCCCAGTGACACTTGTCTAGCTCACTTTTGCTCAGGCAGCTTGGCCAATGTATGGCTGCTAGAATAATTTAGAATAATACTCTGAATAAGCAAGCAACCTCAAGTCCTCGGTTTCGCAGATATACTATACTGCATTTCCATTAACCCAAAAACACCCACGTTCAGCACCCAGCTCGTCGCGATGCGGCAACGCGCGCTTATTTCACGCATACTTTGCCCCGCGAATGGGGGCGAGGGGGTACGTGCTAGTGCACGCGCACTTATTCTTCGTTGGGAAAAATCATGTGCCTTGGCCTTTCACCAGATCGATTGCGTTAGTTTGCTGGGCCAGAAAGGTCACCTCGCTAAAAGCGCGCTTTTCAAATACAGCGAAGTAACAACTGGGACACTCGTTAGTTCGCACTCATATCTGTATTTGTGATTGCATTTCGTGCATCGTTTTTGTTTCGTGCATTTTCGTGTGTTGTTGTGCACGTTAAGCATGGAGCTGTAAACGTTGTTAGCTCTCGCCCTGTGTGTGTTGTTTTTGTGCATCATAAGTGCATGAGCATGAACGGCTAGCAGATCGACGCTGCATGCTTCGATCTGCTAGCCGTTCTGAGCGTTACATTCCAAGTTGTTGCTATTACATTCATTGCTTCACCCTTGCGGCGAAACTTTGACTTCTTTCTTGCTTCGCGGACTACAGAGGTCCTAGGGTGCCCTATTGAATGAAAAGTTCAAGATGTCTACAGCAGTAGAGGCTGTGTCATTAAAATCTTCAAAAGACTCGACGTAATAAAAGTGGTATAGAGTAGAGCTATTCATTCTGCTGCGCTTAAAAAAAATGTACGCTGACTAACAACAAGTAACGGTGGCCTTTACTGCTGAGCCTACTTTTATGACACATAGTGGTCTCGTATTATTGTTGCTTTTGGAGCAGCAGTCATATCTGGAAATATTTATGCACACTTATACTAGTGGCAGTTAGTTATACTAACTGTTCCCTAGAATGGGAACAGTTAGGGATAAGAGTTAATGGAGAATACCTTAGTAACCTGCGCTTCGCCGATGACATTGCATTGCTGAGTAACTCAGGGGACGAATTGCAACTCATGATTACGGAGTTAGACAAAGAGAGCAGAAAGGTGGGTCTTAAAATTAATCTGCAGAAAATGAAAGTAATGTACAACAACCTCGGAAAGGAGCAGCGCTTCGAGATAGGTAATAGTGCACTTGAAGTTGTAAAAGACTATGTCTACTTAGGGCAGGTAATAACCGCAGAGCCTAACCACGAGATTGAAGTAACTAGAAGAATAAGAATGGGGTAGAGTACATTCGGCAAGCACTCTCAAATTATGACAGGTAGATTGCCACTATCCCTCAAGAGGAAGGTATATAACAGCTGTATCTTGCCGGTACTTAGCTACGGAGCAGAAACCTGGAGACTTACAAAGAGGGTTCAGCTTAAATTGAGGACGACGCAGCGAGCAATGGAAAGAGAAATGGTAGGTGTAACCTTAAGAGACAAGAAGAGAGCAGAGTGGATTAGGGGACAAACGGGGGTCAAGGATATCACAGTTGAAATAAAGAAGAGGAAATGGACATGGGCCGGGCATGTAGCGCGTAGACAGGATAACCGCTGGTCATTAAGGGTAACTAACTGGATTCCCAGAGAAGGGAAGCGGGTTAGGGGGGAGACAGAAGGTTAGGTGGGCAGACGAGATTAAGAAGTTTGTGGGTATAAATTGGCAGCAGCAAGCACAGGACCGGGTTAACTGGCGGAACATGGGAGAGGCCTTTCTCCTGCAGTGGACGTAGTCAGGCTGATGATGATGATGATGATGATGATACTAGTGGCAATGCTACCCTGCCCAATCGTAACAACCCCTTACATGGTTGTGCCCATGCCAGAACTATCACAGTAAAAGTTCATTAACTCTACACTTGTTAATTCAGAAATTGAGATAATTCGGACATGTTTTCTGGTCTTTGCCCATATATGCGTTCTTTAATGGCATCAAGCTCTCCTTAGATTGGTCGCATTTAGCCGTAGACTGGCTAATTTAGATGATCCTTAAAGCACGCCGAGTGTGAAGCGCCGCAAATCTGTGACACAAAAGTACGAAAACAGCATTTGCGAACAGCCAAGACTGCCACGCACCTTTAAAAAGGCGTGATTGTCAAATCGTGTTGTTGATATGCATATAGTATTGGGTTGGGGGCACGCTTTGGAATGAGACATGAGGGCCTTGAGCTGCCTTCATATTGTGGAGAAAGCCACGAATTATGAAAATTGTAGCTTTCACATTGCTCCTAAGCGAAATCATAAATGTGTTCACATATTCCTCAAGAAAATAAAAATGTATTATATAGGACACTTGTTTATTGCTTTCTTGATACTTTCTATGAATTCACATATTCCCCAAGAGAATAAAATTGTATTGTTATATTGTACAGCTGTTCATTGCTTTCTTGATACTTTCTGTGACTCGGCATTCAGATCATTGATAGTTTTTCTGTTCTCGCAAAATCCAAGTTATTAAGCTTCTAATGTACTAGCATTTCTGCTGCTACTTCATCACTACTTCAACTTATTCCACTACTTGTTCAGGCCTATGTCTGCTAGGAATTATAGACAAAGGGTCTATACTGTGACACAAGTGCAACGCCTGGTTCGAAGTTTTTATTCTCAATTCCCAAAGGGGTGAACATATAGCATGAGCGGCAACTGAAGGAGCAAGCTTTCCCGAGTTATAAGAAAGGGGAGAGGTTTTACGACTACTGCTCTAGTTTGCCTGGTGACACCAGGCAAGGCACTCTGGATGGACGTTATGAGGAATAAAGTGAGCTACTGAGGGCAGCCAGCGGGCATGTTCTCACCAAGACAAGCCGCAAGTTTGACAGGAAAACAATGAAAACATGATCACATGCATTGCTAATAACTTTGAATTCTGAATGTTGTGCCTTCAATTTCATGCTTTCAAGCTTCGAGAGATTGCTTTTCAGTGAAAAATTATTTGACATCCAGTGCTTGGAGCCTTTCAAGCTAATGAAACACTAAAAAAAAAATGAAATATGTCAGTCTTTAGTGGTAAACTGCTCCTCAGTATTCACTGCCTTTCAGCAGTGATAAAAGAATAAACTGATTACAAAAGCTTAACGATGAATTAAACAACACACCTCATTGTCAACTCCGTCACACATTCTGGTTATAATGATTTGCACAAGCCAGACTACACGCACAGTGGCTTCAATACTGTAAAGCTGTAAAGCTTCAAATGCACTTGATCCCTTGTTCTGTGTCTTTATGCATACGGAATGACGAGTCGGTAGTTACCATATTATAAGGCACATGCCACACTTATGTCCAGCACTGGGCCACAGGACAAATGCTTGCCACTGACCTCCTGAGGACTTTAATTTCGTTTTCCAGGGAGTCCTCTTTTCCCTTAAGGGCCTTTTTGTCGATACACTTGATGGCGTGCATGACTCCTGGGGTGTCTTTACTCTCTGCAAGCACAACCTGGGAGAACGCCCCGCTGAAAGAACAAAAGGATAGAATAAAGTCAAGCATGTTGTCTGTTCTGGAAAATTCGATGCAGTAAAGCTGAGCTTTTCAGACCACAAATGCCTATGGAAACAAGACAAGATATGCTAGCGCAAATGCATGTTCCATCCTATTTTCATAAGATTTCACTGCATCAAAGATTTTCAGAACTGCAAGTTCACTCTGGCCCACCCTCGTCATTTGAGATAGGCCAATATAAACATATTACACTAACCAAGGAACCGAAGTATGAGACAAGTTGCAAAGTGTACAGACGGGTTCACTGTTAAAGGGAACACCTGCGTGCGCAGCATGTTTAGATTTCGCTATCTTACGGAATCATAGCGGCTTAGATATGCATAGAGCTACTGGTGGTTAAAAGTTCCGACTCCTCTTCACAGACTATTGATTTGCAGGAAGATTGTTTCTTAATCCACTTGTTCTTATAGAGGGCCAGGAATATTGATGGTGTGCATTCGAGTGTTCCATTTAACAGTGGACCATACTGTACATATATTGAAGATATAGACACCTTGTCCTGTCTACTTAGGCACTGCTGCAAATGAAAGACACTCACATGCAAGTGATTTTCAAAAGAGATGTGATTTCACAAGTTCCCATACTTTGACATGCATTCGGTAGTTCAGTACAGAGTTCATTGTCAACTACAATTAAGTTAACAGTGTTCAACATCTGTCGAGAAACATAGTGCAGAGTTCCGTTCAGCACAAAAAGTCGGTTGCCACGAACAGTTTTGTGAGCCATCACATCATAAAGCTATTTTGAAAACATATGGAAAATCGATTTACGTCCGGTGTCTCAACAAGGGTACGAATCTCAACAAGGGTACGAATCAGGAGAGTGGTATAGGCATATGGTAGTAAAAGCAAAAGCATTTTACAACATGTCATAACATGTCCAGAGTTCTCAACACAGGTATTACAAGCCCACAACCTGTATGCATTTGCCAACGAAGAATGCAGGTCTTTGCCCCATCTGCACTTCAGACGATTCAACAGTTCAATTATAATTAATTGTTTCTAATCAACTACCCCATGTTTCATTGTTAAGCGACAACCTTTCTTTTTTTTTGCCTGGTAACATTCACTATAATTCCATAACTTCTTTGCTTGACTATCAGTAACTATGTGTAATACATATTAAAGCGACTACAGGTGACTGAGTTTTGAGTAGTACTTAAATTGATAAGTGCACAACTAGGCAGACATGCACGTTCATACAAGTTCAGGCTCGAGCAATTTTTAGGGTAGTCAGCTGCATGTCAATAATAAATAGCCATGAACCTATGTAGTCTAATACTGTTCACCAATGACCAAACTTTTATGGCTTATAGATTGACCACATCCTGATAGATCCTTTGCTTTGCTAGTGAATTTGTAAGTAGTCAAAAGTTCAGTAGGAACTTCATAGACTGACAACATTACAAGATACGAGAATCAAGCTTTGTTTAGACTATTTATTTATTTGGTTTGTGTACATAAAAATGAGAAGACACAGAGGAAATAGGAAGGAAACAGGTTGACAACTGCCACCTATAGAGGCACACACCTGCCTGCTGCTTCGGAAAGGGAGGCATAGAGGAAAGGAGGGAAGAAAAGAGGAGAAAGGAATAGAAAAGTAAAAAAAGGAAAAAATATGATACACTCGCAAACACAGATAAGTAGTCACATGAAAAATGTCTATAAATGCGACGACAAGTCCATTTTCCTTGAGAAAGTTAGAAGGACTCTATGGGCCTTTACAGAAACGCGTGGGGATAGCACCCACTGGTAATCGGAACAATTAAGCAAACTTCATACAACTTCTTGCAGCAAAACAATCAGGAAAACGTGATATAACTTTGCCCATAAACTATGCATTAGAACTACTTTTCTGATACGTGGCTGTTCTGACCAGGAAAAAATCTGAAACAATGCACCTGATGGTGCTTTCACTGTCAACGCCCTATGTTGATGATTAAATGAAATACTGGTTAGCTCTTCTTGAGATATAAGCTCCACGCCACAGTATGGCACCACCAACAGAGCTGCTGTCATTTACTCCGGTGACTCCATATTCTTTGAGGTGTATGATTTATGTGGGCAGGCTGTACAGCTCTACGAACCACGTTAGCCGCCTCACCAATATACAAAGATGAAGAGCCCACTGACCCATCTAGTTATCGGCCAATATACCTGCTAAGCGTTCTTAACAATCTATATGAGAAACTTCTTGCAGCCCGAATATATAAATTCCTAGATAAATACCACATACTCTGCCCACAACAGCACGGTTTTCGTTTCGAGCACTCAACATTTCCCCGCGGTGCTGTCTCTAACACAAGCAATTAACTCCACCCTAAACAATAACAAACTGGTGGCTGTCGTGTACTTAGACATAAAAAAAGCATTCGGCACCGTAGATCACTCCATACATTTAGGGAAATTGAAGCAATACGGTTTTACAGGTACATCTTTCAACCTATTCTCAAGTTACCTTCATGACCAATACCAGATAGTTCGCAATAACAAATATGTTCTTTGCCTCAACGTGTAGAAACTGCTGTTCCACAAGGATCCGTCCTTGGGCCCTTATTCTTCTCCATGTATATAAACGATCTGCCATTATCCTTACATTGCTCCAACGTTCTGATGTCCGCTGATGATGCAGCTATAATTATTACAGGTAACAATATCGAGGAAGTTGAATCTAAAACAAACTCGGAGTTATAAAAAATTTCCACATGGTTTTGTGCCAACAAATTACCAACTAATACCAAAAAAAATAAATATACAATTTTTCATTCTCGTAACAAGACCGCAAATGTTAACTCCATCAATATAGCTATCGACAACCACCCTCTTCACCATGCAACTTCTTACAAGTACCTTGGCGCCTTACTTCGATAACCACTTAAACTGGCAAAACCACATAACGAAAGTTTGCACTAGGTTGGCGTCCGGATGTTACGCTTTACTGCAGGCCTGTAACTACTTCGATAGAGAAATTTTACGAACATTATACTTCGCATTCATCCACTCTCACATTACATACTGCATTGAATCTTGGGGATGGACTTATAAGACTTACCTAGAACCTATTCGAATATTACAGAAACGATCTCTAAAAACAATAACAGACTCTAAGCATGATCATCCGAGTAAACCACTGTTTAACGACATGCAAATTTTACCTTTTGATGCATTGCGTAAAGCAAAGACAGCCGGCTGCGTAAATAATATTATACGGCACAACAACCCTTTCGATGCATCCTTGTTCTACACTACTTCTGGACCCACTAGAAATGCTGCATCTAGGTACTTCAATCTTCCCCCACAAACAACGCGTATGGAGAGCGTCAGTTGCCGTTTATAGGAGCAAGAATATGGAACAGCTTGCCACCTGAAATAAGGAAAGCCCTAAATTTTAGCACTGTCATAAAAAAATTTTATCTAAGCTTTAATGATCCGAGCTAACTTTGCAATTTTTAGTTTCCTGGCATGTCGCATTGCAGTCACAGAAACATCATACGAGCTGGATGGTTATTTGGTGTGTGCAATTTTCAAAATGCGTGCCTGCTATTCTGGATTGTGAATCTTGTTTTGGCCTAGCAACGAATGTTGTATTTCTATTGCATTTGGGAATACGTATACTGGTATTGTTGGCTACTTAATATGCCTCTGAGTTGTCTTGTTTATGTTATTATGTACACTTTAGTGATTTGCTTGCATTGGTGCACCTTTTGACACTATCGTGATTATATATTTTATTGTCCTTTGCCACGAAGATCGCACTGCTAAAAAATGCTTGTAGTAGTACAGTACAACACCCTGTGTTTTTGAGTGTTAGTTTCTTTTTTATGTAACAGTAAGCCTGCACTGCATACAATTCTCTTTTTGGACCCAGGACTAGCCATTGGCTACAGGTCTAAGCAGTCTGATGATCTTTTGTATTGTATGATTCAACAACAACAAAAAAAAAACGTCTCTCATAATCATATAGTGGTTTGGGGATGTTAAACCCCACATATTGATCGAACAAATAAAAAAAGAAATACAAAATAAATAAAAACACTTATGTTTGCCCCCCATCCTCTCGAAAACAACCTTGACCCCAGAAAACGCTCATTAAATCATGTCACAAAGAGGCCTGTGAGAAGCAGTGTGTCACACAAACAGCTGTTCAGTCGAGACCCCGATCAACAAAAAACTTGCAAAAAGGCAGGCACAAATGTCACTTATTAGATTACCTTGCCCCGATTAATTATTGTCAAAGTTGCCATTTGAGAGCAGTAATTACTCGCACATATAGAAGGCAGAATAGCTTTCTGAGATATCACAAATACAGACAATGCGCACAAGCTAAAACGTGTTGTAGTGTTTTCATACAACATGCCCATGTTAAATGTCAATGCTTTTGCCAAAACATAGGATACTTGAACCCTAACAACATCCTACTGTTTCTCAGCCGTATCTCGGCTGTTTCACAGAAAATTCAGAGCTATTTCACAGCTATATATAAGCTATTCAACAGCTATTCTGCTATAATGATACTGCTATTTTTCTATATGCTCGACAGCTTTTGCCAAAAGCTTTAATATTTCCTAAATTTGCAGTTTGTTGATTGGTGTCAAGGTAGCGGTCAAATGCAATACTTTCGTTAAGGTGAAGGATACAGAACATTGCTGATATATGTGCATTAACATAATGCAAACATATATATATATATAAAGTTCAACAAAAGTTTAATGAAATATCTTGTTCACTAATATCAAAGGAATAAGAAGAAAGAAACATGGCCAAAGTATTCTTGTACGAAGGATATCGTATTCTTATTACGAAGATTTAAGGTGAGTAAATAAACATATTTAACAGAAAACTATGGCAAGTAAAGGTATGCCTCTGCCACACTGAACAATGTGGCTGGTCAATCATTAAGGAAAAATGTATGCACTGCGAAATGTTCAAATATCAGTGTGCTTTGTACAGGAGC